TTAGTCACTTCATTGTCTATTTTCATGCTATTATTGTAGCATACCATACACCACTAATATTTCTACTACTACATTTCACCATCTTTTTGTCGCATGTGACTGCCATTACTCCCAACAACTACCCATATCCACCTTTCTTTTGAATCAATTTGAGAATTGCGAATCGAGGATTGTGATTTCAAATTTCGGCGGCAATTGTTGTAAGTATTAATCTTGTTGTGTAATGAGATTTTGTCTTGATAGGTATTATGATTTTGGTATGTTGTGACATACATGCAATGGAGGAGGAAAAATGATGATAACATATGGTGGTGAAAAGAGAAGCAAGGTAGTGGCATGGTGTGGCAAGTGAGGGTGAGTCCAAGAAGGAGTTGGCGAGGTAATCAAAGATTGTGGAGGCTTGTCTTGCCATGAAAAGAAAAAAAGAGAAAAAAAAAAAAAAAAAAAAAAAAGTTGTTCGAGAGAAGGAAAATAGAAGATGGAGGTGGGATGGGTGTGACCATTCAAATGCCTGAAGGTCGACTAACGGAGTGAGTGTAATTGTAATGAGATAATAAATGTTGGGGGAGTCAATGTAATTTTCCTAAACTAATGGGTTAGCTATAATTTTTCTTAAAATTAGGGGTGGTTAATGTAATTAGTCATTTTTGTTTTGTAGTCGCAGGGAACTTAATGAAAAGAATAAAAGAATAAAACTTTTACATAATTAATAAGTATATTGTTTTTTTAAAACAGAAATAAGTATATTGTTTAAATCTACTAGTTATAAGAAAAGTGGAAATATAGTTAAATCCTTCTTACAATTTAGTGTTGAATCACTAAAAAGTTGTAGAATTCAAAGGAGGTCGTGAAAATACAGATAAAGTTAATGCAAATTGTAAAAAGATATATGGGTTGGATCTTTACAAAGTTCTTAGCATTTTAACAGTTAAAAACGGAATTTAAAAAAAAAAAAATTAATATGATAAAATCAATTGCCAAAGGTTAATATTATAAGTAAGTCAAACAGAAATATTAAATAGTGACCATTTGGATTAATGGAGCATTTTTTTTAGATACTTATATAATAAATAAGCATATGCACTAATTTATTAGGATCCATTGGTTTCATCATGCGTTGTGAATCATTTTAATTATTTCGGATCGAGCTAACGTTGATTTCCTATCATAAGTCTTCTAATTAGTTAAGGCTATGTTTGGCTATGATTTTTTTAATATTTTTATTTTTTTGGCTATTTAAATTTTTAGAAAAAATTAACTAACTGTTTAAGCTTATTTAACTCATAATTGAGAAAAATAATTTATTTTAACAAGATTCATTAATATATAGTAATTGTTAGAAAAGTCATATTTTTTCAAAAAAAAAAAATTTAATCTTTAGTGAATATTGTGTTTGGTAACGTTTACATTTTCAGTTTATATTTACAAAAAAAATTTAAACTGATTTTTGTTTATTTTTAGAAAAACATAAACTACAAACGCGTTTGGTAATTGACAAAAATATTTAAAAAATTTTAAAAATATAAAAAAGAGTAAGAAATGGCAAGTGGTGGTAAGTGGCGGCGGAAGACGGTGGTGGAAAGTGGTGACGGTGGGTGGTGGGTAGCTGGTGGTGGTGGGTGGTGGGTGTTGGTGGTAGTGGTGGTGGCTGGTGGTGGCGGGTGGGTGGCAGGTGGCTGGTGGTGGTGGCAGGTGGGTTGTGAGTGATGGTGGCAAGTAGGTGGCGGGTGGTGGTGGCGGGCGGTGGATGGTAGTGGTGGGTGGCAGTGGTGGCGGGTGGGTGGCAGGTGGGGGGGGGGGGCGGGGATTATAAGGCCCGAATTTTAATTTATTGTTAAATTAAGTATTCTGTTGATAACTTAATTATCTTCTGTGTGCGTATAGTTTGGAATTAATTCTACTATTATTTAATTCTTCTAATACATGATTATACATTTTATCTAATTTTTTGCCTATTTCTAATATTATTTTATTTTGGTTTCATTATCTTTTTCTTATTTTGCCATTACTTCTTGTTCTTTTAAACTATAATAACTTAGATCTATTTTTTTATTTTTTCTGATGAAATTAATTCAAAATGTTCCTTTGGAGAATTTCCCAGGATAAGGATAATTATCTTTAGTAGTTTATTACTTATTTTCTACAATAGCTTTGCTTACCTTTATTTAATAGTAGATGTCAAATTTCGTGTATAATTTATAATTGATTTTTTTTAAAGATTTTCGTTAAGTTTTTTACTAACCTGATTATAGTATTATTTCGTTCGATTACTATTTGTAGTGCAATAGTATTATTTAAATTATCCGCTTCGACTTCTTCAATATATCTAATGCTCATTTATTAATATTACTAAATTTGAGAAACTAAGCTCTGATATCAATTCTAAACTAAACACACACAGAGGATAATTAACCTAGTTGGGATCAAGGAGTTTTACTATGATATTTTGCGTACACTTCCCTCTTCTTTATTGATAGAATTCCATATGTACTTATGTTGATTTCATCAATAATTTTTTTTTTTACTGATAAAAAAAAGTTAATGATATAATAATTAAATTAACAATAAATTAAAATTCGGGCTATATAACAATTTTATATAACTTTTGGGATTTTATTTTATTTTTATATTGTCCTGAAGACTAATTTGATTCAAACTTAATAGTTTAGGACTTAATTGACAAAATCAAAACCTAGAAACTTAAACCAAAATATTTTAAACTTTAGGTTCTGTGCCGTTTATCCTAAAAGTAATAAAATTACCACTCCAATAATTTAAACTTTTAAATGGAATAGTAATCAACAATTCAATACTCACACTCACACTTTGGGATGACTCTCAGTGGTGTGCATTTTTTGTGTTCTATTTCAGTGATCATTTCTGCTTTATACTAACATCAGTCAGTTTTGCGATTACCTAATACAAGTGCAGCGGATAGCATTCCTCCATGTTTGTCCTTCCTAGCAGTTCTACCCTTCCAATCAGTCTTGCCCTCAATAAGCTCAGCTTTCTCCTGTAAGAGATTTTGAGAAATAAACGGTTAAACCAGAAAAATAAGGTGAACACCAAACTGGGTAATACACAAAATGAATGGTTAATCATATTTTTGGTTTTCAAAATATGATTCTTGTGTCATTTTGATTCTTAATGTTTACATTGTGTCAATCTGATCTTCCACTACATAAAAAGTATTTTAATTTCGTCTCTCAATTTAACTCTGTTTATAGAAGCAATTGTGGACAATTGAAATATTGGGGATCAAATTGAAACATTTTTACACATTAGGAGGCCAAATTGACATAATTTAAATTAAAAATTAAAATAACACAAGACTAACATTTTTTTGGGGATCAAAATTACATAATTAACTCTAAAATAAAAAAGAAAATCAAAGTACCATAGCTACTAGGGTTTTTGAACTAGCTTCAAGAGAGTATTGGAGAGTTAAGAATGGTATTTGCTAAAGTGGGGGAGTGTATATATATAGAGGGTTTTAAAAGGGGCATTTATGATGATGACCATTTCTTTGCATGATAATATGCCTACAGCTAAAATGAATGGTGCGAACTTTGAGGAGAGAGCGAAGTCTAATGACACAGTCAACATTAGGCCAATAGCTGAAATCTAAAATCGGCATCTTTTGAAGTTAGCTCCTATCTAAAATCGGCATCTTTTAAAGTTCAGTTGTACAATATTTTATAAAATATTAATTTATTCATGAAAGTTACAATAATAATTTAGTATAATTTATTCATGTACTACTTTGTTTCAAACTTTATACTTACTCATGTTGGAAATTTTATTGACCGATTGAAAACATATTTTATAACTCACCACACAATGAGAGAGAGAGAGAGAGAGGAGTGTGTGTTTTGACAAAATTCATATGAGTAATTAGTGTTTCACTTCTCATTCCTTTTGAGGCCTACGGGATGTTTGTGGAATGAAGAAATTACATGTACTCAAAAATCAATAAAAGAGGGACGCAAAGGCAACACACACTATTGCCACTGAGAAGATTGTGACAGATAAGTCACACTATCACGGACTGAAAGTAGAAGTCTCAGGTCGAGCGATACACAATCAAAGACTTTCAGGATACGCTACTCTAGGCCTGAGAGAATAAGGACTAAAAGGGCTCGAAGAAGAGAAGACACTCAAGCTCGCGACCCCCGTAGAGTCTCCGTACTATAACGATTCACTACAACAAATTGGGTCTTGGATGACGAATTTTTTTCTTCTCCAAAGAGCTAATTTCGTCACTATATATATTTGTGAGGAAATATTTTCGTCACCGTGTTCGTCATTGAATGTTTGTCACTAAAAAGCATCGTGACGAAAAATAATTTCATCACCAATGAAATTACTTCAGTGACGAAACTTTTTTGTCACTAATAAAACAACATTTTGTCACTAAAAATTCTCATTTTTGTCACCAAATAGTTATTCAATACCACATCTTTAACTTTAGTTGACAAATAAATTTGTCACACATGTTGATCATTGATGAGGAAATAATTTCGTCACAGTAAGATGTAAAGATGATGACATTTTTCGTCTCCAAAAGTCATATTTGGGTGACGAAATATATTTCGTGACAAAAATATATATACGTGACAAAATTTTTAGTCACCAAACAACAAAATCAACCAAATATTTTATATATAAGCTGGAATAAATTTTGTCGCAAAAAATATTTATTAGCGACAAAAAATCACTTTGTCATAATAACAAGTATAAATGAAAAAAAATTCGTCACTGAACTTGTTTCATATTTTATATTTCAATTTAAATTATTATTTCACAAATATCCCTGCTCATATCTCAATAGCCTTTTAAATGTACTAAGAAATCCACTAGTTGTTATATACCACTCCACAAAAAAATTCACTAAATAATTTATATTATAAATGAAAATATATCCATCAAACAAATTTAATAATAATCCATTAAGTATAATAAAAAAAATCAACATATCAAATTCCAAAATGAACTAACGTTGAGTCCGAAGAAAAAAAAAAACACTCAATCTTGATTTGCAACTAGAACTAAGTTCAACAGTTGATCTTCAATTGCAAGTATGCTTCCAAACGTCATCAGAAACCAATCTGTAAAGAAAATAAACAAGGAAAACATTAACATATTATCAATAGCATCTAAACTCATATATAAATAATTTTATTTTATAAACCAATTTAGTAGAAATGCATATAACAATCCAAAACTTCAAAGAGTAGAAGTGATCCTTGATGATAAGCAACACGGATAACAAAGGATGTCAAAAGATCACAAAAATACCATGTATCACTAGCACTAATGCCAACAAGAACCAAGGAGATTATGTGTATACTTTTAAACCTAATAGGGGTATAGTGTTTTTGGACAAAACTACAAGGGGATAAATTGTAATTAACCCAAACAATTTATATGCTCATTGCTCACCCTGCCTACTTAATGCACGGTAACCCAGTTATATCGAACACCAAAGGCAAATAATAGCTCTATGAACCACCTACATGTGTTGCTTATATATATATATATATAACAGAGTCTCATCCAACACTCTATTGTTGGCCTTGAACTGTGTTTTCTAAAGAATTCAAGGAAAATCAAGTTGGGTTTTCTTCAATCAGAGTCTGCAAGCCAACAATTAACATTCAACATATGTTGTGATCTAATGTTCTCCGTGACAACAAAACAACGTGCAATAAGTATATGCATTCAATAATCCAATGAGGGTTGGTCAGTTGAGTCATTAACACATGAAATTTTGTTTAAAAAAAATAAATAAAATAAAATCAGAGAAGGGAGGGGGGGAGGGGAAATGCTACCAATTGAAAGGTGCAAGCAATGATCAATGCCTATATTTTTATGATGCCTCTTAGTATACCCTACCCAATGATTGTTCGGGTTTTTAGGTTGATTGTTGTGGACTACAACAACTCTCCTTATTTATATTAGATGCACAATTTTCAGCTGAAATAAACAGATTTCTTTGACGTGCAAAGTGCCAGGCTGATTCAGACAACATAGAAGACAGTATACGCTCAGTAGGACAAGCTGCAGTGTCGACAAGCATGATTTGAGGCAAATATGGACAATCAAAAAATGAATAAATAGAGTAAACACCAATATAAAAGTTTTGACAGCTTTAATTGGAAGAAAAGAAAAAAGAAAAAAAAAAAGCATAATGCATTCATTTCTCAATCAATCATTTCTGGTGCTGCCACACATTCATCTCAGGTCCTCAAATCAACCACACTTGTTTACAGAAATAGCAAGTTATTTTGTGTTTTTGGCTGGTCTATTGTAACAACTGTCAGTGCAGCCATCTTGTAAATTTCCTTGCATTTGCAAGGTATTTGATGATCTATAAGCACTTGTTTTTTTACCTATCTTGTTTTCATTTTATGCATAACATCCTCTTCCTCTTTCGCTACTTGTTGGGAATCATTTAAAGATAATGAAAACTATCAGTTTCAACTTACGATTGCTCCTCAGGAAATTAAAGAATTTATTTAATCTTTGGCATTAAATGAACGATCCATTTTTTCCCTCTCCAGTTGAAAGAATCACTCACTTGGTGCTGCCTTTAGCCCTTCAACCCAGTAAAAAACACTTAGGCTCAACAAGGCTATTTATACGGTTTCAAGGATATCAGAGAAGCATAAAAATTTACCTTGCATTCTGGCTTGTTGAGCATGTAAGTTCCACCATAGGCGGCACTCAAACGAGCAAATGCCTATCAATAATGTTAGAAAAAGTTGAGAATAAATTATATAGCCCCTAAAAGGTTCTTGCAATTCCAATGACAACACACCTGAGGTAGTTTTCCAAGTCCATGCAGTGGATAAGTATAAGGAGACCCTCCCCGGAAGTGAGCTAAAGATTTTACATATAGCTTTTCAAAAACAAAACTGAAGTAAATTAGCTGGTCATTACACTGACTGCTGTAAACAGAATATGCAAAAAGGAAAACCTCACTCACTATTCACATCAATTTGAATGAGGGAAAACGAGAAGAGAGGAGCTGCTCCCAACTTGTATTACCTCATCAAATTAAATTAACTAGGATTGAGATTGTAAAGAAAGACCTGTTATCTTGTGCTTTAACTAAGATTATGGCCATTGATAGAATGGAATGTAACATAGGACCCATGTTTCTTTGAACTGCCATGTGAAATGCTACTTGTTGGGAATCATTTAAAGATAATGAAAACTATCAGTTTCAACTTACGATTGCTCGGCAGGAAATTAAAGAATTTATTTAATCTTTGGCATTAACTGAATGATCCATTTTTTCCCTCTCCAGTTGAAAGAATCACTCACTTGGTGCTGCCTTTAGCCCTTCAACCCAGTAAAAAACACTTAGGCTCAACAAGGCTATTTATATGGTTTCAAGGATATCAGAGAATCATAAAAATTTACCTTGTATTTTGGCTTGTTGAGCATGTAAGTTCCACCATAGATGGCACTCAAACGAGCAAATGCCTATCAATAATGTTAGAAAAAGTTGAGAATAAATTATATAGCCCCTAAAAGGTTCTTGCAATTCCAATGACAACACACCTGAGGTAGTTTTCCAAGTCCATGCAATGGATAAGTATAAGGAGACCCTCCCCGGAAATGAGCTAAAGATTTTACATATAGCTTTTCAAAAACAAAGCTGAAGTAAATTAGCTGGTCATTACACTGACTGCTGTAAACAGAATATGCAAAAAGGAAAACCTCACTCACTATTCACATCAATTTGAAGGAGGGAAAATGAGAAGAGATGAGCTGCTCCCAACTTGTATTACCTCGTCAAATTAAATTAACTAGGATTGAGATTGTAAAGAAAGACCTGTTATCTTGTGCTTTAACTAAGATTATGGCCATTGATAGAATGGAATGTAACATAGGACTCATGTTTCTTTGAACTGCCATGTGAAATGACAGTTGTCTGTAGTTGAGACATCATTTACTACCATATGAAATGAAAAATAGAAAACAGTAGAGCATTGAACGGATCAAACACAACATTGGTGTATAAAGGGTAGAAATCATTCCAAGATCTTCAAAGTGGAGACATTGGGAAAAATAAAACAAATAACTTAAGCAGGAACCAAATGTTTTACCTTAATTCTCTTCACAAAATCCATGGCAGGCTGGTCCAAGTAACTATCATCTATATGGAGTGCCAATGCATGGCCAATAAAGTCAATTGTATTGTCATCTAGCCCATACTTCCTATACCAGGGGAAAAAAAAAAAGAATAAGTCAAACTATATTACCTCTCATCACCAAAAAAAAGAAAAGAAAAAGAAAGCATAACAGTAATAATAACAGTAATACTAGACAACTATAGTTATCATCATAACTAGTCTGTGGATTGGATCTATTTGAGCAAAAAGAGTGACTTATGGTCAAAGCTGGCTTGAGGGCATGTCCTCTTCAAATTAAAGTGGAAAGAATTATAACAATTTTCACACTGACTTTTCTACGTAAAAGGAAGGAAGAAGGAAGAAAACTGAGATCTAAAATAAAACCACTTGCTCTTAGAGTTATTGTAGTAAGATTCCAAACTCTAAATCTATGATTCGTTATCTTCTGTAAAACAGAATGGAGCACCATTTTACTTAAGTTGAATGTTGAGTTTAATTCATATCATAACTAATAAGTTTAAGACTAATTTGCAAGTGTCCGTGTGCATGTGATTGCCCCATTGGCACTCCACTTTAGCATCTTGTGATCCATTTTTCATGTGCTTTTTGGCTTCTCTGGAACTCAAATATGTGGAGTACAAGAAGCTAAGATAAATGCCAATAGCATGTCCTAAATATGATGTTTGTGTGTGTGTGTGTGTGTGTGTGTTTGTGTTTACCCAGAGTCACATATCTTACTTTAATTTCTGATAAAGTAGATTTCTTTCAGTAACTTCCTATTTAAGAGAGTTTGTAACACTTATTAAGCTTTCCAGCTATCAATCAATCTTAGCTTACAATAGCTTATAAAATATGTGAGAACATTTAGCTAGCTCCCATTCTAATTCTCAATGGAGCTAGAATGAATGTGAAACAAGGAATTGCAACCTTGCTGGTTTTTGGTCAACTTGTTCTTCAGAAAATTTGTTCATTTTGTCTTTTTGAAGAACTTAAATTGAATAAAGGATCTTAAGTAAAACTTATCTTGATTTAGTTTTTCTTTCAGGTTTGCTGCACAACTCCTGGCCTTTGACAACTTGGTTAACAGTCATCAACAGGGGGAGCCACGTAAGGACCAGGGGGCACGTGCACCTCCCCTTTCAATGTTCAATACACCACTATTTTCTTGGCCAAAAGTCACAGCATTAAGTTGCCATCCAAAGGAACTATCCCAATACCTTAGCTCAACTAATCAAGTTTCTAAGTTGAGGTGTTTCAATATATACCTTTACATGTTTAAGTACATAAATAAATATGTATAAACTCAACAAATGAGAAGGGACATGGTAGAGCATCGATTTTCTTATTATTCTTCTTGATTGTCTTATATCTTTCCGTTTCGTACTATGTAATAATCTCTTCTTCATCATAAAAAAAATGGGAGGCCAGTACCCAAAAACCATCAATGTACAGGGAACTTGCCACCAATGTCGGTAACGAGTGTAGATATCATGTGTTTCAATTCATGAATTAACTTCAAAGTTAATAAAAACAAAATTTAAAACAATGTTCAACAGTTTCCACCACTAATTCACATCAATAGAATGCAGATAGTCTATCATAACATATAAGCTCATGATATTACATAGAACAAAGCAAAGGAACCTCAATCCAAAGAAAAGAAACTCAGAAATATCAATTTCAGAACAAAGAAAGGGAAAAAAGTTTCCCATTTAAGACAAGTACATAAACATCCAATTTGTGCACAAGCTATAGCCATAAATTCATATTCTAAGTTACTGAAGTGGGTAGAGAAACAAATTTAACATAAGGTAGAAAGAAACCTTGACATCACAAGCAAACATACACAAATTTTATGACACGCTTACCAAGCTTGGGCAGCATTGCACCAACGGTCTCAGGATTAACAGGTGTAGGTGACTCATAGATGTGTTGACTTCGGAAGAAATGAAACATGGGAGAAGGAGTTGATCTTTTTGGATCCAACAAAGATATACATATAGATAAAGAGTGGACAAGACCCGATTTTGAATTTGGTCTTCTAGTGCATAATCAAATATCCTAGCAACAAAAATGCAGAAGAATAAAAATATCAAGGCATTACGAGTTACGAGGCATTAGGAAGTTTAGTCTCCTGTTTTCAACTCCATTACAAAAGCAGAAAAGTTCTAACCAAAAACTCACACATAAATATGTAAAATAAATAATTCTTATTCCCAGTCAAAATAATTCTTCACTTGCATAGATAATTATTATTCCCATCTCACACATAAGTTCTAACCAAAATAAAAACACTTGCATATGTATTATATTCATCAAATAGATTTCATTAAACAATTGTTCCTACATTCTGTATTCTGTTCATTATTATTAGATTCTAATTCTGTTCTTCAAACAACCAGTGGATATGCGAAATCCTATTATATAATCACTTAAAAGATTCTAATTCTAGGATTTGAGGAGCTAGTTAATCTTTTCTAATTTAAATTATTTTGGGCCATTTTCTGACTTAATTTTCAAGTAGTTAGGAGCTACCTCTTGAATCCGAACCTCTGCTATATGCAGAGTAAAGTGCTGTGCGGAGATAAGTGCTATACTATTGTGGGAGCCACCTCTATAATCCGTACGAGCCACCTCTTGAATCCGCACCTCTGTTTTGACTGTCACTTCTGTGATCTCTGTTCTGTTCTGTTGTGTTCTATACCGTGGTTATGGTTGTTTATTTACATAGTTTATGTATTTCAGTTTCTGCCACCAGTGATTTATTTACCAAACTGAGTTATGTAAATGTTTTGGCATAATTAACTATCCATGGTCATTCCTTGTCCCTTATGCTCTTGGTATAATATTTCTCACTCTGCCAAGGGCTTATAGTTGTTTACCAATTTTCAGGAAACAACGCAATTCAGAAATAGCTTTTGGAAAGTCTTAGGTGCGGGGTTGCGGAATAGACACACACAACACTTTTATGATATTTTTATATGTAAATATCGATCCTTTTTGTCAATATATTTTGTAATAAAAATAAAAATTTCGATGATTATTTTGGTACCATCATTTAAATATTACTTCCACTCGCGTTTATTTATTTGTTTAAGAAAGTCTTAGGTGCGGGGTTGCGGAATAGACACACACAACACTTTTATGATATTTTTATATGTAAATATCGGTCTTTTTTGTTAATATATTTTGTAATAAAAATAAAAATTTCGATGATTATTTTGGTACCATCATTTAAATATTACTTCCACTCGCGTTTATTTATTTGTTTAAGAATTGGCCGGAGGTAACCTCAGTTACTGACTGTCACGATGCTTAACCCTTGGGTACGGAGAGCGGGTCGTGACAAATGGTATCAGAACAATGGTTTATAAACAAATAAATAAATCATCATTGGAGCATAGGACACATGAACATTTAAGAAGTAGGATAGCCGATAATTAGTACCTAAATATTATATTTTGTTAGTCGATTTAATTATATTATAATTTTATATGATTATTTGTTATTTTTTTTTTCGTGTGCATAATTTGTGAAGGATAATAGATATAATTTATATTTGTTATAGCAAAACAAAGAAAAGAAACAAAAGATGTCAAGCTCAAGCACCCATCAAAATTATAATATAATTAAATACATGAAATTTTCAGTTCAGTATTAAAAAAAAAAAAAAATCATTTCGATTTTTTTAAAAAGTGAGTTCAAATTTTACAAATACTAATTTTAAAACTATTTCTCATCAATGAAAAGTTCATCTCAAATTTTTTCAACTCTTACATATGATTCTGTCATTGTGTTCTCATTTTATTTTTTTTATCGTAAACAAAACAAGTGAAAAGTTTTTAAAAGTCGCTCATTATTTCTCATTTTTGTCCAAAACAATTTTTGACAACTAGATAATGAGTTATTTTTGGTAAAGTTTTTTTGAGGTAATATTTTCTATCAGATTAATCATCTAATGTATATTTATCATAGTACGCAACAGATAACTTACACATATGATAAATTTCGAGAACGAAATTTTAAAAGGAGGAAAGATTGTAACAACCCAGATTTTTAATTATTCTGTAAGTTTTATACTAATATTATTTTATCACAGTTAGAAAAAATATACGATTTATTTTGTATTATTATGTGTAATAATATAATTATTATGAATTTATGGGTCAAAGTATAAATAATAATAATAATAATGGGTATGGTAGTAAAATAAATAATTAATTTTTGGTTAGTATATGATAGAGTATAATTTAATTAGAAATTAATTATTTATATAATTATATTAAAAAACTAAGTTAAAATATAATTATCTTAAATATTTATTAGGAATAAGTATAAATCTTTATAATTTATTATCGAATCTGTTGAAGTATTCGCGCGGATAACGTTCCCAGCTCCTTATAAGTAAGGAGGAGGTGGTCTGTGTGGAAAGAAAAAGAAAGAAGAAA